TCATGACAAATCCAATGAAAATCACTTCATCCGATTTAAATCAATTCGGATTTCAATCGATTAAAAAGGATTGAAATCGATTGAAGATTAACATTCGATTACACGTTTAATAATCGTAGCAAATTCGATGAAAATCACATGATCTGATTTAACTCAATTCAGATTTCAATTGATTAAAAAGATTTCAATCAATTACAGATTAACATTGGATTAGAAGAGAGATACTCGGGGTTAATCCGATGAAAATCACTTCATCTGATTTAAAAGATTTAAATGGGTTACAGATTAACATCGGATTAGAAGAGAGATACTCGGGGTTAATCCGATGAAAATCAGTTCATCCGATTTTGATCAGTTCGGGTTACAATCGATTAAAAGATTTAAATTGATTACGGATTAAAACCCGGTTTTTCTTGCCCTAATCCGGAATAATCGATTAGATCGATTGTTTTTTCAATGGATTTAGCGATTTCAATCGATTTTAATCCGATTTTGTATAGAATATTGAATTTTTCATCGAAATTGGCGGTTTTTAGACCCTTAATCAAAAAAAATCAGGATTTTGCTACATATTTTTTTCCACTGGGAACATCTTCGAACGATTCGAAGCACAACCAAACATAATCTTTCATTTTGCTTTTCTTTTAGATGAGAGATCAAGCTCCAACAGGTCAAATGTGAGAATTAACTCGTCATGCAGTCGAAACCCAATAAACTCCGAAGAACGGGCGCGCACGAAAACCTGAATCGACCCATCCGACATTTCTCTATGGGACATCCCTAAAATCACTCCGAATTGAAGCGATAATTTTCTACCACACTATTCAAACCAAACTATAAATATTACCGGAGAGAGCTCGGTATCGTTTCATAAGTGTTTATGCAAGATATCTCTACAACTATGAGTGACTGTGAAGGATGTCTGATACAGGAGTGTCAGTTGGGTCGATTCAGGTTCTAATGCACCGACGTTCCATCCTTCACCCAAACCAAAAACATCCCAACGAAACACACAAACCCTGCTCATTCGAGTGCGCCTGTTTCTGAACGAACCAAATCGACACGCATGATCACTATCAATCACAACAGACCTACACAACCGTTCCTAAACAATCAGGACGCTTATTAATGACCCACTACCAAATACAGCGAATTTCCATACAAAAACTTCACATACACCTGAAAAACACTCAAAAGGCCACTCGAGCTACGCGCAAGCACACCGATGAACATGTCCCCGAAACCAAACCACAACACAACCGCTTGCAGCACGCGCTAACAAGTCTCTCTAGTACAAATCCCGATACAAAATACGACGCAATTATCACAACTGCTCCATACGGTAATACTATCTCCAGCGACCCCAACCACCAGCAAACACCAAATCTAGATCATGGTAGCTATCTCACTCTACTGTGCATCAAAAATTAGACTCTATGTATTCTAAATACATTTGCAGTCTATGATTCTTGTGATTTTCGCAATCATATATGAACTTGTATGCCATCTGAAGATCCCCGTAGCTGGGATGAAATCTAGATCATGGTAGCTATCTCACCCTCTTTTGGAAGTACTTGAGTGTCTTTAACCTCATGTTATAGACCCTTATATACTTTCGAAATAACTGGTGATTCGTCTTCTGAGTGTTCTCATATGTAGAATTTCATGATTCTAAACTTGCCTGACGAGTCTCTTTAGCAAGCACGAAATGCGTCGCAATTCTGCTTAGAATCTATGTTGGAAACTCACACCTTCACCTCACCCTTTTCTGTAATCAGTTTTTCGCTTGAAAGAAAGATATCATATTCTTATTCGAAAGTCTGTAATGCTTTTTTGATTATCTTATTTTATATGCGGAAAATACCGAACTGATTATCTTACATCATTATGTGTAATGTAAAGATAGTGAAAGACTATAAAAATCCCATTGACTCATTTACAAACATAAGATAAGACTTGCCTATAAAAGGACGTTATAAATTACTCATGAATATGAAAGCATAGCAAGTTCTATAATATTCCATGCCACCACTTCAACTTACACTAGAAGAGCAGATATGTGCGATTGTAAGTGATTTAGCCTACGCTGCTCATAAAGATACGGGTATAGAAGGGCGGTATTCATATGATCGAGTTCAAACAGCTCTTAATAACCATATTAACAAAAAAAGAGCACGAGGTGATGAGGTTGGTGCAAATGCGTTGAGTGAATATAAAGTTTCTGACAACCACGAGCATACCAATCAAAATATTGTTACACTAGTTAATAAAAAAGCAAAGAAAGTGATTGTAGGTTATCGTGGAACTATGTTATCATGGCGTGGCATCGTCTATGATATATTCCTTAATAATACACTAGTCGCTTTTAATTCATTTGGTGGACGTCGATCTCTGACTGCATTAGAACACACCCAACGTGTAAAGAATGATTTTGGTCATGGATATGAACTCATTGTTACTGGTCATTCTTTAGGTGGTTCAAATGCCAACTTTGTTAGCAAAATATTAAACGTACGGGGGATTGGTTTTAATATTGGCAGTGCTGTCCTCGAAGATCCTGAATACAAAACACTTGCAGGAATAGTAAATAATATTATGTTCTTAACTTCTTTCAATTTATGTATAAATTGTTTTTCTAGTGCAACCATGAAGACAAATTTGTCAACATTCGTATCAAGGGCGATGTTATATCATCAGCGCATAAAGGAATTTCGCGCACTTATGATGGCATTCCTGGTATGTGGTCCCATCGCCTTGCTCATTTTCTTGAATATAGAAGGACTAACTATAACAACAATACTTATTCTCCACTAGGTGGTATCGATTTTTCCGGTGTGCAAATTCATGCTTGGCTAAATCCTTCTATCAATATTGGAACGATTTCAGGAGCTGTGTTTGCTGGTTCTATTGCAACCCTTCACACAGATGGTAGTCCCGATAGCAATAGTACAATAACAATGCAGGATTTTGCTGTAGGATTATTACTAGCACATTTTAGAAAAGATCCAGCATTTTCACTGGATCCTTGGGAGCCTACAAATCCTGATGGTCCATGGTTACGTTGTGTTTATTATCCAGAATATAATGATAATAATCAAAGTTGTCTACCTTTCTCACTTGCACAAACTAACTATGGTCGAACTATGTTTGAAGCTGATTGGCTATTGAAACAGCTTTCAATGGGAGTCAACTTAGATCAATATAATGCTGCAGGACCTTTTCCATCGCCATTGCCCATTCGAATATTTCCAGCTTCTCTTTTAGCTCTTGGTCTACGTGATAGATTTGAGCTTGAAAGCCATCAAACATCACTTATTGGTGATGAACAAAATGCCCGTTATACTCGCTTATGGATTACTGTTGATCACGAAAAAACACTAGAAGCCTTATTTCCCTCACATGAAACTTGTTCAAATCAATTAGCTTCATATTCAGAACAAATTGCTATTGGTAGTAGCATAGCAATACATTTTTCTGATGTAAAACTCGGTGTACAAGTGATGCGAATGACACGAGGAATAACCGGACAATTAGAGGATCTTTTAGATCCGCGTTTAGTTGAACCAACATCCAGTGATGTTATTTTTGCTAGTTTGATGACCAATCATTATGATGAAGTGGCTCAACATTTTCCTCCATTACGAAGACTGAAAGAACTGGCTAAATTACAAGCTGTAGCAAAATGGATGATAGAAAATGACGTAGATGTGGATATTGAAGCAGCTCTAAAGTGTATACGAGAGAGTGCACCTAATGCGATAGAAAAAGTGCCAGCTCTAGAACGTAAAAATGTAAATACACGCATATTTGGTGGTGTTAATTTAAGTGTACGTCAACAATATCATGATCGAGCTGAACCCTATTTGACTCTTGAGAAAAATGAGCAAACTCAGCTGAAAAATATGGTTCATAGAAGTTTAACCATAACAACTTCAACTGAAAAAGCATCATCGACTATAATTCCACTTCCATTTGTCAAAAAGAAATTCTGTTCTGTTTGTAACAAACCATTGGATTTTTCATCGTTTTTCAAACCTTCCACATCGTCTAGTGATGTTTCATATTGTGACGAACATCATCCAAATGCATGTTATGGTTGTATGTTGCCTCTCTATATTGATCCAATATCTCTTACACAAATTACCGATGGATCATACAAGGTTATTACAGTACAAAATTGTCGATATCATCCAGCTTGTTTCTTATGTGCTGCATGTAATTTACAAATCGATAATGAATCTTATATAAATGACCCTGATGTAATGCATGTGTATTATCATTCAAATTGCTATTCACCACTTCTATCACACAACCAACAAAATAGAAACAAAAAACATCAACTAAATGAGTCGAATCATTTTATCTCTTATAATGAACAAATCGAATTAGAAAAGGCGCTCTCCGAATCGAAACAAATTTATGAATTACAGAAAAAAAATGATCAATTTGTCGATCATTCAGGTTCAAATAAAAATCCTTATTCTTTTCGAAAACATCAAACCAATGAACAAGATCAATGGGAAGACGAAGATCTTGCTCGTGTCTTGTCTTTATCAACACTGGAATCGTCATCTTTCATACGAAACAATGCAGAACTTCGTAACCAGTCGGAAGATGAAGAAGATATTCAATTAGCAAAAAATTTATCTCTATTTACGACAACTACAAAAAATGCACCTTCCATGAATTTCGTATGCGAAATATGTCGAAACAACTTTAACAAGGAAAGTGAATTAGAAGAGCACGTCCAATTGCATTTTGATAATTGAACATTTGTTTTCTTAGATGCTCTCATGAGATGTCAAAATAAAATTTAAAAAATGCGTGGAGGGTGTGGGTATGGGTGTGGGTGTCGGTGGTGTAGCTGTTGGTGATAATAAAACCGTACCCCCACCCACACACACCCATCCCCACCCGCCCTCACCCACCCCCACCCCCACCCACACCCTCTGTAGTATATCCACATCCACCCTTGAATCAAAATCTTATGAAACAGATATATTATTAGATATTCGTTCTGAATTGCATCATATCAACCGAGTTACTGAAGAATGTGAACGAAAATGAAAGACAGGAGAATATGTATTAAAAAAATTGAGAAATTTTTTACATCATTTAGTTCTTTCTTTTTTTTGATTTTATTACTGTTTTCATATACGTTTGAATTGAAATATTATCTCATAATGGAATGAATAAATTGGGATTCAATCAATTATCACTTATTATATTTTATGCAAATTGCATTCAAATATCATTGAAAATTTTGTATAATATAAATATATAAGTATCGATTTTTAACTGTAGCTCATTTGTTAAGGAGTAAATAGTATTATTCATTATTTTTGTTTATTCTTTTGAGTCCCACAGTATACCTGCTGAATAAGAGAATGATGAGAACATATTTTTAATAAAATTAGTATAGAAATTTTGCTACAATCGACCTAATAGAGTTAATTATTAAAAAAAACTATTGCTCAATTGTTTGCACACCCTTTCCCCTTCTAGAAACCACTCGGTATATTCCTGCACAGCAAGGCTTCGAATGGAATTCGGAAACAAAATGTTTTCATACACTTTGTTTAACTTAGTAAAATGTACGTGTACACTTAGCTTTCGTGTGTATAGAAATATAAAATAAATGTATAAGATTAAACAAACAACACATATACATACAATTATTACTTTATCTGAAATCAGTTAGAACTAGACATGTGCGGGACCAACTTTTTTTGGTCCCGGTCCCGGTCGCGGTCCCGGTGAAATTAAATTTTTGGTCCCGGTCCGGTCCCGGTCCCGGTAAATTTTTTTTGGTCCCGGTTTGGGTCCCGGTGAAAATTTTCATTTGGTCCCGGTCCCGGTCCCGGTGGAAATTTTCCTTTTGCTGCTGATTCCGGTGAAATTCTGTTTTTTAGTCCTGGGCTCAGTTAACACATTCGCTACGATGTGGCCTAACAGTGAGCCACGCTACATTTTAACGAGAAACTGTATAGAAAAGTACTTTATTTTTCTTTGTTCTTAGACAGGAGGTTGAACATAAAGCTTTATCTGTTCTGCCTTCAGAACTCTTTTTGTGTCCGTTATTCCATAGCATGATGGGTCTTGTTAAAAAAATCAAGACAAAAAAAATTGTTACTCACAACAGAACGTTTTTACTTTCTTTGCTACCGCATAGCTCGCTTCTCTTGACTGTTGTGCCCTTCCTTTCGCAAAGCAGCCAGTACAGCGTCTGCGGACATTGCCCTTAAATCCTTCCTTTTCTTCGAGCTTGCGATTAGTGAATTCGCGCTTGAATTGGGTTGCTGATTCAACTTCTCGAATGGCATGTCATGCTGAAATGACCTCACAGGGGTTTCGCCAAACTACAGAATGGTTACTTCGCTACATGTGATATTACAAATGGAAAAGAGAAAACGACAGATCAGCATAGGATGAAAAGACCAAGCAGTGCATTTATCGCAAGATGAATGCAGACGAAAATGAATCTCTAGAGCTACTCTTTAATAAAACCGAATCGCGTCGAATGTGTTAAATTTGGTTTTTGTTCTACACCCAGTCTAAGTAACCTTACTTTTTCTGTTATTTGTCCATAGTCAGAGAAGTTGTTGCGGAATCTGCCGGTTTTAGATCTGGAGCAGTTCTCACTTGTATTTCCGCCGATGTTTCTTATCAACGGCAAACATGACCGGGACTAAATTGTTTTTCGATCCTGGTCCCGGTCCCAGTAAAATTCTATTTTTTGGTCCCGGTCCCGCACATGTCTAGTTAGAACATATTTGCGAAAAAAAGGTGCATACGAACATTCTACTTTAGCAAAAATTAATCAACAGTTTAATCTTCATCTTCTTCATGATGCATATCTACATGATCATCACAGAACCATATTGAATCAATATTTATACCAACTTTCATTCTACAATAATTATCTTTATTAGAACTTCTAATGAAGATAATGATAAATCACATTCTAATTCTACTGAAGATGAACCATGATCTGTTACATAAGTCTTACTCATTTGAAAAAAAAAGAATAAAAAAAAATTTCATTAATTGATATAATGAAAATATTGAATTAATAAACAATCTATTTGTGTATCTTGAAAAAAAGAATGTGATTAGAAAAAGCAAAAATGAAAGATTAACCGATAGCAAAATTCTTCAAAACATAAGCACAGTGTATTGAGTACACGCTGCTTTTGTCAATAGTGTGTAAAATAGCGTGTATTTTACATTTAGCAAGGGTTCGTACATTTTGATTCTGTAGTGTACACTTGCTGTTCCGAACCTTACTGCACTTTTAATTCCAATAGATGTCACTGATAGTAATTTAGAAATTGAATAAATAGAAT